TCACGAGCCGCAGGGTTTAATTTGGATTTGTCTGTGCATGTTTTTTTTACTCTCATAGATTTTGTTACCATTGCCATGCATTATACGACTGATAGACTGCAACGGCTGAAGTTAAAAATCATCATATGTGTTCTACTGAAGAAACAAAGTCACCTACATCTTGGATGCCCTGAGGGTAAGCAGATAAACATCAAATTTTATTTTTTGGGTGAACTATCACTTTAATAGACTATGGCTTACTTTAAATGAAGCACACTTTCTAAAAAGTATTTTTGATGTCATGGATTTTCACGGTTTTGTGTGTCATAGAGAAGCATAGGGTACTTTCCTGCTCCTGAAATGAATATTCAGTTATCTGTTAGAAAACTCAAAATGATGTAACTAACACTTAAAAGGAGCTACAGAAGTGAAGCCGAATGGAAATCTATTAATCACTTGTCCAGCTTGGTCTCGGTTGTGTGTTGTCTCCCTCTCGTGGTCAGATAACTGTAGGGTTATTGTAAAGCGGATGTATTGTTACAGATGTGTTAGAAATGCGTAAAGAAGTATGAAATGTGTATGAAAGCCCTTTTCGGCCACAGAATTAAAAAATTGCGATTTATTTTTTATTCCGTGTTCTCCCATAGTATTGTGTGGTGTTTAGTGCAGTTTGTGGATTACAGTATTTGTTTTAACCCCCCCGCAAACGCGACATGGTACGATCCCCGATCTGTCAATGGACGCCAAGCTTTCGCTTTCACGCGCTAGTTATGATTACATGTCAAACTCACACTATATATACGGTGTTTAAACGGTATGCTCGGGATTTCTAGTAAATCAATTATCTATTTATTCAGCGGAACCGCGCACAAACCGTTCAGGAGCATAGAAATGTATAGGTAGATGCCACATTGGACTGCTCCACACAAGTCGACGCGTCCGCTATTTTGGAAAGGTCGATACGTCGTCACTCATAATAAAAATCAATGAGTTTCAAAGATGCTACAACGTTGCGCAGCCTCTGGCTGTAAAAACCAATGAAATGTAAATTCCTGAAGAAACTAGATAAGCTTTCACAGGTAAGAATGTGTTGTTGTTTTTAATATGTATTAACTCAGTGTTACAGGTTTTAAACTATAGTACCTTTTAAATGTCGTGTTAGCTATCGGCTTCATCTTGTTGTATTGTGTTAGTTTAGAAAAATCGTCTGCTGAAGCCTATTGCAGATATAGATATTAATACATGCGTATTATTAGTGTTACAGACACACAGGCCACTTGCTCTCAAGTGTTCACGGACCGGCTTTGACCATTCCAATATGGTGGAAGGCTTACAGCCGCTAAAGGTGATGATACACAGGGAAACTTTTTGAGCAATGTTGCAACCAGGCGAGACACAGGGCCCACGACCGATCCAAAGTATCTAGATATAAAGTTGCTGCCTATGCTCAATAGGAAAGTGCCCAAACAACATCGCTTGGCAACATTGCCCCGTGTATCACCTCATCACCTTAAAAGGGTCATATGATGCGATTTCAATTCTTCCTTTCTCTTTGGAGTGTTACAAGCTCTTGGTGCATAAAGAAGATCTGTAAAGTTGCAAAGACTAAAGTCTCAAATCCAAAGAGATATTCTTTATAAAAGTTAAGAGTCAGCCACGCCTACCTAAAAGGCTCGTTCTAACACGCCCCCACATATCTACCTCACTATGTGGGAAGATTTGCATAACGCCGCCCAAATGTTCACACAAAGAAAGAAGGCGTAACTTTTATTCTGGCTGTAGTGTTGTTGCCGCCGCCATGTCGTGAAGGCGCTGTGTGATTCGTTGTGAAAGCGAAACTACTTTGGTTGGCCTTCCAAAAGAGGACGATATCTGCTTCGTCATGCCTAGAGCTGATCCGTGCTGGTCGCTGAGGAAATACTACAACTTCGCACTGTGGATCGCCGGATCGGCTTTCACCGTGGACGAAGCGAGTCCAGCCCGAGGTCGTCACATGTGGTTGCCGCAGGCATCACAATATGGTTCTTTTTAGCAGCATCATATGACCCCTTTAAGATACAAGGCAACAATATTCGACTAATAGGCTACTAGATTGTATTGACTGTAGTAATTGTCTTTTAAATGATGATAGTTATATTCTCATTTTAGATTATTATAAAGCATCACATTTTGTTTGAAGTTCTTGATTTCTTTGGATTTGGCAACAAATGTATTCGTGCAGTACGAACATTATACAAAAATTGGAATAGTTCTGTTAAACTACACTTTGGGATCACTCAAGGATTTAATGTAAGTAGATGTGTTAATCAAGCAGATACAATTTCTCCTTTGTTATTTTTATTAGTCATGAAAGTAGGCAATGTAGTTCCATATGAAAGTTTAATGCAGCCTATGAATTAAAAGAAAAACTTCTTTAATTATTCCCCGTTATAAAAAATACAAAAGCAATTTAAAAGCTGGTTAATGAGAGACTTGAATGGGAGAGTATTGGGCTATTATGAAAATCTGAAGGGTTATAGACTAGTTAACACAGCGATGGCCGTGGATGTTTCAAAACATATTATTAATGAGATAGATAAAAGTGTATATACAATTTTATTTGGAAAAATAAACATTATTTGAATAAAAGAACACTTTGTAATTCACTTAACCAAGGTGCAAATGACCATAGTTGTATAAAAGTTGTGGGGGGGAAAAAATCTAATCCAAGATAAAAAGATTTTTTTTTGGTTATTCCAAATTAAGCATCTGTGAGGAGAGAAATTGTGTTTGTAGCCTATATAACCATCAATGATAATAATGCCTGTTTATGAAAATTTGACAGTT